AAAAATAGCATAGGGAATTGTGTAAGAAAAGTAGCTACAGATTGGGTAGATGCGTCAACCACGTCATCTGGTGGCAAGCGGTTGAATCACTTCGCAAGAGAGCGGAAAGAGAGAACCAAAAAAGTAAGTAGGTAGTTAAGTGTATAAGTAAATGGGAAGAGAAGATTTGCGCAAAAAGAGAGAGAGCATGCTCGCACTCACTAAAAGTCACTCCGAGAGCACGGTAGAAGTATGAGTAAGAGCAGAGAAGATTAATTTTAAAGTGTTAGTAATTTAATTGATAGTGCATTAATTACCAATTCATTGTTGTATTGTAGTTAATAGTGTGTCGTAATAAAACCAGTTAATCTAGTTGAAAAGCGCTAGTTCTGGGACTTTATTGGCCTTATTACTGCAACAAGTTATGCAACGTGAAAAGAGGGACATTTCTGCTTATCATTAAGTCATCAGTTAAGTTATCTTGCGACGCTGTTGGATTTTACACATCCATAAGTTAGCTACAGTGAGCAGCGCCGTAACATTGGCGGTAACATTAACTTAAAGATGTGTCATCTTTAAGTATTTACACACAGGTCTTAACACTTTGGGGTCGCGCCTCAGGTCAATAGAAAGGGTTAGTACTTCTGTCCAGGAAGGAAAGAAACGGTAGCTCCAACCTTATACCTGACAGTTAGGAAATATTACAAGAAACTGGGACAGTAATTTTACTCCCGATATGTGATCGGTAGAGTTGCTAAATAAAGCATTGTAACACCGGTATAAAAATTAATTCCCGACAAATGTTTCGGAGAAGCTAGCATTAAGTCCCTATCACACTAAAATTAGTTGAAACCATAAGGGCATTTAACCCTCCGACAAGGAGGAAGAGCGCTATAGAAATCAAAATACGTAGGCGGTACGCTGCGGCAAAAGAGATATAGAAATACGGTATACTGAGAAAGTATACAGAAAAGAAAGGGGTCATCTCATCACTGTGTGCTGCAGACATAGTTCAACATGAGACGAAAAACAAGCGGTTTTGCTGTAAGCTTTAGAACAGGTCAAATAATAAGTACGATTCTGTCACAGCATGACAAATAGTCATCAAAAATATTAATAATTAAATATTAGCTTAAAAGTAATGTTCACTCAACGGTCATTAAGTTTTGTATCTGAATGCCTGAATTTTACGTTTAACAATGATTGATACAAAGATAGATAGGAAAAAAGAAACGAAGCTTAGAAAAGGGTACGTGAACTGATCACTCACGTGGCATCTATTCAGAGTTATCTTTTCCACTTTCCACTTAGGAATCAAGTAATTCCCGAAAATGAATATACCAATGAAGACAAAAAGGTATAACGAATAATTGTAACAACGGAATAATTCTTCCCCATTTTCATGATATGAGGACCTGATAAGATGAAAGTAATCACTTTCACCTTCAATTCTTTCACCGTCAGGAATAAGCAATAGCACAGTTTTCGTCTTTCTTAGCAACTTTATCTATTAATTTCCAACTTTCACTCTCCATATGTCTCATCATCTCAACAGCTCATGAAGAATGTGGTAATCTTCATGAAGTCAACTACAATTCCTATTGAATGAAAAATTGATAGGTTCACCGAACACTGTATTCGATGAGGAAATTGACATTGTTTGTTCAAAGTTTTCCAAGACCGGGAAACACATTTTGTAATTATCCATTTTCTGAATATTCATTTCACATTCATATTCATATTATTTCTTTGAAAAGCTTTCACTCAGGCCAAAAAGACAAAGTGTTAGTAATTTAATTGATAGTGCATTAATTAGTCACCAATTCATTGTTGTATTGTAGTTAATAGTGTGTCGTAATAAAACCAAGATGAATACCAAGTAAATATGCATGCTCTTAAACATCCCATCTTAATAATTGCCACGCGGTGTTCATATATATATATGTGACTTAACCAAATGGTAATAATGTTTTTCAGCTTATCATGATAAATCTTGTCCGCTTGGGGACAACTTGTCACTGATTTTACCACCATTGGGAAACATTCTCACTACTTGGTGAAATTGCATATGCACACCGTTCGGTGGCGATTTATACCAGATTTTTAAGAGTATACTTTCACTCTGCCTTCAGCTTGTATTATCATGGCTGACTTATCGATCACAGTGAGTCATTATGACTCACTGATACGTATGTACCTGAAACAAGATCTCATGTTGTATGTATTTGCAAAACATTGACGTATGCATGCATGCACGAGCTCTGCGCAATTGATTGGATGGAATTGAGCTTAATTTGATACAGTGTGGCTATTAAAGAGGGTGCATTGTGGAAATCACTGGCCGCGGAAGATCAGTTAGACCGTGGGGACATAAATTTTCATGTTAATTCAAGAAAACTCAAAATCTATCTGATTGATACAAAATAATCAAATATTTGAATTACAATAGTTATAAATTTAATCAATTATCCTGAAATTGGATGGGAAAAGCAATATTATTTCCGAATTTCAATATAATTTTGAAATTATAGTTTAAGCTGTCGTATGAGGTTGATGTTTTTGTACTTCAGTCCTTCTAAATCGTGGGGATAAATGCATTGCATGTACTACGATACGATAAAGTTTCCGTGGGGACAGTTTCCCTATGTCCCCATGCTTCCGCGGCCACTGGTGGAAATCCTTACTTCGGCGGGAAAATCCGTCTCTACCTTTGGCCGCATTCATGGGGGAAGAAACCTTACTATTGTAAATGCTCAAAATATACTGGATCAATTCAAATTTAAAGTTGACCCCTCTGAGATGAAATACATGAAATAATAAGCAACTCCATAAGACGAGTCCGCCTTCATGAATGAAGTATGTAGAACACTATTAATTTTATAAGATGAATAGTTGTTCACTCACTAATTTAGGACCTGAGTGAGTAATAACTCACATTACTCAGTTATCAAGATGAGAATATATGTATTTACTTCTTTTTGTGGTATATGACCAGAAGAACATATGACTTATCTTAATTTTCTGCAAATTATTCGTGGTAAATTACATATAAAATTTGTTAAGCGCTGAATTTTCGGGACGCAATTTCCATTAAACTCAATTTGGAACGAGTTAAGGAAAATCCGTACTAAAAAAAACAGTCAAATAGTTCGCAGATCGTCCTATGTTTTTATTGACTTCAAAAAATACTAACCTGTGGATAAAATCTTTTTCCCCACCTCGTATCAATTGTGATTAATCGATCATCTCGTCATTACCAATGTCAGGGCGACACCGATAAGGATAAGCGACTTAAATCGAATATTGCGAGATAACACAACTTGACAAGATTACGTACATACATTTGTGTAAAGGTTGCATATATGTATTTATTTAGCAGGACAAAACCTTACTCGGACTTTTACCTTGGAACTTGTCGAGCTAAAAATTTAGTCACAAATAATCATGACGAAAGTAGCTCTAATTTTTTTGGTCCTCGTCGTCATGGCGACGAGCGCCGTACAAGGCAGCACCCTGAACGAAAATAAGAAGGGCGAACTGAAAAGTAAACTGTTGGAAGGAGGTTTGGATTGGGAGTGTCCCTCGTATTGTGATTACTGCACGGGTTCCACCTGCTATTATTACGATTACTATTATGGCGGCGACTTTGAGCTGGCGTGAGTTAATTGAAATAAAATTTTAGGAAACAAATTTGAAAGTTTGAATATTATTTTTTACGTCGTAAGCGGGAGTCACAATGGAAGATTTTGGTTAAAATTGGAACAGATTTAATTTGATGCAAGGTTCGATTCGCGGTGGAATTTGGCTTTTTTATGCAAAATTTATTGCAAATAATGTTTTTTTTAAATTCAGAGGTGTTTGAATAATTGCATTTTTTAAATTTTGGGGGAGTTTACTATGTCGTAGGTTCGATTCCTGGTCGATTTTATTTTTGTGTCAATTCATTGTAAATAATGAGTTTTTAATACATGGGTATATAGTCGGATAATTGTATTGGTTACAATTTGTATAACTTGACGTCACGTTCGACTCTGGTAGAATTTGTTTTTATTTGGATTTGTTGTTGTAAGTAATGAATTTAATGAAGACTTAGACGAATATTTGGTTGGTAATTTAAAAATCCAGATATGTAAATTTTTTTGTCTAGTGTGAGTTTGTTTAGTATTTTTACGTAAATTTATTACGACAAATAAAGTTTCAATGCACCTTTCCGGGAATAATTGTCATTGTTAAAATTTTTACTTGGATTAATTTGCATTCAGGTTCGATTCCTAGTAGAAACTGGGAATTTTTGAATCACAATTTTTTTCTCAGAATTTATTTTGATAACCTGCTAAACTTTTAATACAGGGTTGGTTGGATAGTTGCCATTTCTATCACCTCTTCATCATCTTCTTTGTCTGCATTCCTGTCGGACTTTGCTTCTGTTGCGGATGGTGCTGTTTCACAGGTTGTCGGAAACGAGATCAACCCGGGATCGTTTGTAAGTTGAAATATTTTAAATCTGCTGCAGTTCACAGTTAAAAATCTGGTATAGTCAGATAGGTAGATATTTATTACTCGGTGTTCAAGTTGTTACCTTTTTGGCCCTAAAATTATGCCGCTCAGTAACAATTTGCTACCGACACGGTAAAACTTTAATACTGAGTTATTACCACATGGTATAACCTATCAATTATACCGCTTTGGTAGTCAATATGGATATTTGTACCACATGGTATTATTTTGATACTGGATTTCTAAGCGTGTAGTTTCCATGCACATATTTATGTTGCACGTGTGTCATTAATTTTCTTAACTAGATTGCAAGGACCACCCCCCGCTGGTTGGGGGCAACAACAGGGACCGGTCAACCACAGCAGTACGGGTATCACCACCATACCCGCATCAGCAACAATACGGCCAAAAAGTCAACACTTAGCGTCTGTAACGATTTGTGTTTAATTTGTACATATAACATGAAATATGTAAGATTTGAGTAAGATAATAAATTAATAAACGTTTTATTTTGAATTGTCCCAACAGCGCATATTACGGGCTCAATACAATGTCAAACTGATGTAAATTGTTAAACTCGAACAAGAATGATAGAAAAACATACCAATCAAAGAGATTTTTAAGATACTTGAAATAATTTGACAAGCTAATTTTACTTACACATATGCATGCACTTCTAAACCAAAAATTTATACTAATAGATTAATTTTAGCGATTAATTCGTTTCAATTATAATTGACTTCATAAGTGGACTAATTTAGTAAAACCGATGAGTTGATCTTCTAGCGAAAATTAAACCTTCTAATTCTGGATTTTTTTGACAAGAAGAACAAGAAGAAAAGAAACAATAGCTAAAAAAACAACAAAAAAAGGAAAAACAAAACAAAAAAATTTGCACCAATAGGATTCACATTGATACAAATTATTAGCATGATTTGCATTATGTACATATATGAAAGTATTAATACACATCAATATAATTCCACATTTGGAGGTTAAATATGCATGTACATATACAACTTACTCGAACTTTCCACCTCATTTGATCTCATAAGCATTATCTTATTTTATTACCACCCCGTTCATGTTTTACTTATCAGGACAACCTTATCAAGAGTTGGGATGGACCGAAATCCAACACATGGGGAGATCGTGCATAACCAATGTAATATTTTTTTCAACAAATCAGATTAGTCGATGCGTATGTAATCTTTGCACAAAATATGTAATAGCCTGGCCCATTCTTTTAATCCCAAACTGTCACATCCCTCATACACACTCCCCAGCGACGTCAATCAGATCCTCTAATTATTTATGCGAGGGCAACGTTACTTCAAAAATTCGCGAGCATGCTATCTTGCCGCACTTATTTGTCGAGGGAGTATCCATCCAATATTTTTCCCTGGATGATTACAGATTACACCGACTCAGTAATATTTTACAGGGTGGATGTTACATTGCTAATAATTTTGCAATAAATATGGCAACATCAATGTATCGTGATCTCATTGCAAATTAAATTTTAACGTTGTCACCTGGATAAAATCACACCAATGTCAGTCCCAATTGTAAAAAACTCGGCAATGGAATAACAGCTTAATTTTTCTCGTTGGGCGATGGGTAAATTGAAGGAGGGGTTTTAAGCCAAAAAACCTCTGGGGAACGGTAAGTGAAATTATGTATCAATTAGCAAACATTTTAAATTGCGTTCATGATGTCACATAAATTACAGTATTGTACATTCATATTTTTAATTTTTATAGAAAACATCAGAAAGTTTAATACCGCTGGGGTAAGCGACATTACAACGTATCGGAACCAATTATTAGGTGCGTAATTTTGTTGTAATTATTTATATTGTTAAACACCTAGGCATAAAATTAATATTAGCTTATACGAGATTATTGCCAAAAGTAATATTACCAAGTACCAATTTATAACTAATTTGTTTTACCGGTGGAAAATAAACTGGTAAATTAATATATTTATTTTGCCAATAATTAAGGTAATACATACGTCGCTACCGTAGCAACCGTTTGGATTGGCATTGTCACCATAAAAAATAACTACGAATTTTCTAACAGATCAAATGGATCCTGCTCATTTATCTGAACAGGCTGAAGATTATAATATCAATTCGCTCTCCCCGTTCGAGAGCGAAAACGAGATGGATTTCTCCGATCTGCTAGTCGCTTTTCCCTCGATACCCATCGAACCTCACGATGTAGGCGGGTCGTACTCGAATTTACCTTGTCTCCTTTAGGGACGTGGTTGCAAGACAATGCGGCCGCCTTGGGCGATGATGACGTGTCCTTTCCGGGCATCGGCTTCATCAACCGAGCCGAGTTATGTTGCCCAGCTGATGAGCCATCTTTGTCAACACCAGCTGACCAAAGAAATCCTATTTTATCACCGCCGGTGGACCAAGTCAATCCTATTTTACCACGTCCAGCTGACCAAATCATTCTTGTTTTATCACCACCAGATCAGCCAGTTGGTAGGATTCTACCCCAACCTACTCAGCGGAATAATTATATTTTAACACCACCAGCTCAACCAGTTGGTACCCTTGTATCATTAAAAGTGAAGCAATGTAGTATGACCTTATCACGATCTGGCAAAGGCGATGATCAATTTTATCACAACCATTAAAAAAGAAAAGGGGTCGACCACCAAAATTGAAGGAACCAGCCCCACCAGCCTTGCCCCGGGTAAAGAAATATGACCTAATACCTGACACAAAGGCAGTCAGGAACGCTATTGCCGCCCGGAAAACCCGAATCCGAGCAAAGGAACGACTCGCTAAGCTAGAAGCCGAAGTAGCCGCTAAAGAAGATACAATATCGCGACAAAACAAAACCATTGAACTGCAACGGGTGGAGATTTTGAAATTGAAGGACCTAGTGGGCCACATCGAGCAGACTTTAAATTTAGCCAAGGGAAACATCAGGGGCAAAATTTCGGCATGTATGATGGTAATTAAATTTTGCCCCGAAATAGTTAGTAATTGGAAGCAACCAAATTTTAATATTTCAATTAATATGACTTTAAATTTTCCATTTTCTGTCCATAAAAATAAGAGGATCTTAGGATGAATAATCTTAGGATTATTTACATTTTAATAGACAAAGTTCAAAAATATTTAAACTTCTTTAGTCCATTTTCAAAGTTGTTCTTCAATATTCAATTTTAGACGGGATTCAATCATTTAAAAGATAATTATGCTAGATCTTTAGAATTAAAGTGGGGAAATGATGTGTACAATTTATTTCTTTGACTACTTATTTTATAAGCGGGAAATATATTTGTACAGAAAGGATTCATGATTAGATTTAAATGAAGATCAATATAGTATTCATCAAGGTGGTTGTTGCTGGCAGTCCAACTTCGCAAATATTATATTAAATTAATTATCCAAGTAGGTATGAATATATTGTAGCAACATATTGATGAGAAACAATACAAGTAGAAAATACCCTATCTAGTTAGGTTGAAAGTTTTTGGCGGAACAATAACGAACACACTGTACACAGCAGTGAATTTTCGTCACGTTATCATTTATTTCTCTTCTAGAATTATTTAATCTAACAATTCCGCCAGGGTTCCAAATTTTATGTAAAAATTTTAAAAATCTTATACCGCCATTTATTGTACTTGGAAGACTTTAGGTTTGGTGATTTTGCTCCTTAATCCATCCCCATTATTGGTGCTGGATTGCGTGGTAAAATCATCAAACTAGAACTCTTCCAAGTACAATAAGTGTATTTCTTTCCCTGTAAATATAATGTTATTGGATAGTTTAGTAATATGTATATTCAAAAATTAAGTAGATGTAAATTAGGTTAAATCCAGCTTAAATTAAAATAGTTATTTAAATTTCAAAAGGTAAAAAAAAACACAATACATCAAATAAAATCATAAAAAGTTTAAGCGCAAAAAAATAAAATATAATAAGATTTTAACTATATTTAGTTAGTTAATAAATAAATATATCTTGGTTAAATATGTATATGTATCGTTGGAAAATTTAGGAAATGCAAATTACTTTGAATCACCTGGCGTTAAGTAAAATTATTTTAATTTCCAAAAAGTAAAAAAAATCATAAACCAGTTTAAAGGGTAAAAAATTAAATTAAGCTTTCAACTAGATTTAGGTAATTAGGGCGTGATTTAGATAAATTACGTTAATCTAACTTTAATTAAAATTTGCATTGCTTAAAAAAATATATTGAATAATCTGATATAATTTCAACCGTATTATGAGACGATGAGAGATGTTTGGGATTCGAAGAGACGAAATATATGAATAGATTAAACTACGTTGTCCTGTTTCAGTTTACAAAACTCTCTTTAGTTGACTTCATCAAATTCTATTAACTTCAACCACGCAGCACAAAGTATCTAAGTAAAGTCTAACAACACACACGTCTCAATTTATAATACACACAGTCCACGTGAAATAGGCAACATGGCAGAAAAAATAAAAACAAATTCGTCGTCTTCCCCTGAGGCAAAAAGTGCCTGTTTACCCCAGCTCTTCTGGCCATTAAAGTTCATCGTCCACTTTATTATACGCCTAGAAGGCCATGCAAATTTCCTTCGGCGAAAGTGAGATCAGGTCCAAGTTCAAGTGCAACTGCATTCAAGTAATACCTTGTCAGTGGAGGCCAGAACGTTCCCGCTCTTTCCTCTACAAGTTCGAGTGTTGACTGTAGTGGAACTCCAGCCAGGTGTGGTGTAGTCATTGCGACTGACCTGGTCGTATTTGGTGCATCGTAGCAAAAGGTTCTTTCAATAGAAAGCAATAAAAGGCAATAAACAGCTAGTTGATGAGTTCTACTAAAACATTGAAGGCCATAAAAAATCAATGACTACCGATCTACAATTTTTGTTGCAAAGTGGTAGCAAAATAGTAGAAACTTGAATCGAATAACCGTGGCAAAATATTTGTTATTTTAACGTGATTCCATAGTATAAAAAATTACTGTTAATTCTTCAAACCATTCTGCTACACAAAAATAACAGTAAAATTCATGCAACTTTTCATGAAACTTTTCCACGAGAAAGTAGCGTGGATTTCAACCAAATAACAACCGTGGTATTCACCAAAATATTGTACGAAAAAATAACGCAGATTTAACCTGGAATGCGAACAAAGAGAGCGCGCAGAATCCAAAGTATTCCCTCACATTTCTCTGTCACAAAGTCAGTTCAATGAAATTTTTCTCCCAAAATGTCATCCCTCCCAGTTCATAATTTTGTATATACAAATTGACTATGATGGCGAAAAATTAATAGAAATAGCTCCCACGATTTGGCTTGAAGAGGAGGAAACATCGTGTTTCGGCCACCAGCTTCTAAACTAAAAAGTTTCTGTAAAAAGGGAAATGTACATCCCCTTCCATCCTAGAGTAGACAGACGTATGATAAAATCCTTGGAAAATACGGTAAATATTATCGATTTAGTTCAATTATTAATGTAATTTACTTGATTATATAATTTAAATAAAAATCTCAATTGCAGATACGTGGAAATTAGCTTGTGAGAAGGCGGATAACGGAGGACACTTCCAATCTTGAAAGCGCATCAGAGAATCGTTGAGAAAGCCGAAATAAGAAACATTATCGAGAATTGTTGCACCCGAACGTGTCATCAAGCAGCAGTGAAGACGAGGAAGATAATTCCATTATAGTTTTACCTCTTCCCATAGACAATCAAGGTAAAGAACTTATTTATTAATAAAACTCAACTAAATAAAAGAAGTTTTCAACCAATCATTCCAATCCCCGTAGGAAGCATTGAAGTGCAAGTATCAACTCAAAACAACGACAACATTCCTTCAGTAAATCAACCAGAAGTGGGCAACTTGGAAGAGCAAGACATTGGCGTACTTTTGGCGACATTAGAGATGATTTTAAGAAATTGATTGAAGGTAAATCTTCTTTGCTTAGTTGTTATAGTTCTTATCATTTTATATCACTTAATTCCCAACAATGCTATTTTTGTTGCAGGTTATCATACAAGGATTATTAAAATTCTTTAGCGGCAAACGCAGAAATTCTTGAGATCAGAACTGCTCTCCATAATATCCGAATTTCAACGAAGGAGATGTTGAAGCTGACTTTTCATCTATTCCACATCATCATCTGGAAACGAGAGAGCACCTTGAGCAAACTGAAAATTGGCTGAAGCTTGCCGATGCAAATAATCGAGATCTATTGGTATATTTAACTTTTAACTTTTTTTAATTTAACTTTTGATTAATTTTTGATGGCATTATTTTGTACGAATTCACTTATACACATTAGCGCAGACGCCCTAAAATTAGGTCCGCTTGATTCATTTAGTGCGTTTCCTTACCAAAATAACATGCAGTTTATTAAACGAACTTTGAGGGCGTCATACAAACCCTTAGAGCAATGTGTCAATAGGATAATTGAGAAAGAAACTGTTCCTTTGTCTCAACCTGTGTCTACAACTACTACCTCGTTTAAATTAACCCGTAATGACAATTGTTATAAGTTAAAATCTGGGTCTATTGTTGTTTATATCAAAATATATTAAAGATAGTCAAGTCATAGTATGTAAGAAATTCATAAAGCTTGAAGATTTGTACAAAAATCCCAGCTCTAGTTCAGTTTTAGGCATACATCAGGTGCCAAAAACATCAAAGTTTTAAAGTAAATGTTTTACCGTAGTTGAAGCAAAATGTTGGTTGATGCCATTGGATGAAAAATTAATTGTTGTTCCTTTAATAATTGTTAATTAAATAATATAATATAAATTGTTAATAAATTGTGATTTTATTACCAAAGAACTGTGAAAAACTACCGTTCATATTATGCATAATTACCATGAACGCCACCGTGGTTTGGACGTAAATTTACTGTGGATTTGTTGCAAATGCCACGGTTATTTATTGTTAATTTCCACGTTAAAATAACGTGAAAACCACCGTAGTTTTCATGATGCCTTAGTTGTTGAAAACCACGTTGGAAAAACGGCCATCAGTTGCAATTCTGCAACTGAGTTATTTTGCGTGGATTTAACGAAAATTGTAGATTGGGTAGCAACCATACACTCAGTCTCATTTTGACTCTCTTGCAAACAAGATTCCAATTAACCTAAATACTGAAACTCACCAAGCTTAGTCACCAGTGTCGATAACAAAACACCTAACTAACACAACCTCCTCAGTCTTAGTGAGGATGAGCACAATGACGAAATGTAACAGATGTTTCTCATCAATTGGATACAAACCTAGACGGCATAGGTGATCTGTTAAATGACACAATTCTTAAAGTCCAGAACATGGCTCTAAAAGCCGAAGAATCGCATCAGAAATTGCTTCCACAAATCTTCAAGGAAAAGCTGGACAGGCACATTTCACATTCAATACTGGAACAGTTTTTCAAGACCCCCAAGGTCTCTCTTCTGGAAACCCAGCTAGACCTGCTCGGTTTACAATAAAACCGAAAGAATATTCCGGCGGCCCAAATTCTGACCTCAGGAATACATTGACGTATTTAAGTTAATTAGTAAATCTAATAGTTGGACAACAAGCAAATGTGCGACATCTTTGCTACCCAATTAAAGGGAGTTGCATGGGGATGGTACATGCAAAATACTGCCCAGAGACAACGAGATGGCTATGGAGATTGGAACTGGCAGGAGTTGGGAAAAGCCTTTCTCTCTTCTGCGGGTAATGGATGACTAATGGATGCCAATGGATGCAACTAATGGATGCCAACAAAACCCAACGAAATGCTTCCGATTACGCCATACTAGTTGATATTTGTGCACACGGTTGAACAGTCAGATGTCGGATAAGGAGAGATTCGATTCATCCGAAGAGGATTGCTACCCTTAATATTAACTAACGTAAATCTCCACAATCCTATCACATTAGCACAGTTAAAAGAACTGCTAAGCAAGTTGATGAGCCACAATGCTAAATAATTTTCGGGAGACACGACAAAAAGAGACTTCCCCTCAGAAGAAAGTGTATTCGCACAACATACAAGATATTAAGACAGAAGACCAATTATTCACCCCGAATCTCAATATCCCCAGCTTTCCACTTTCTCCCAATCTCCACGACGATTCAACCGCAATCGCAACTCTTCCCACAATATGATGCAACTCCACAACCAAGACAAAGAATTCAACATTCCAACCCTACTTCAGACCAGCTGGAATAAGTCTACCAGTTTTTCATCAGGAAATCCACCCCTCACCCAGACAAAATGAGTACTTTCCACCACGAAATAACCCCAATAACTTTAGAAGAAATCAATCTAACTTTGCCCCACCACAGTATTCCACGAGTACTTAACCAAGGAAGAGAGTTTCTTTCCAGGAACCGGAGGCTGGTCCTTCAAATCTTTGCTACCGATGTAAAAGCCCAGACCATTTTATAAATAATTGTCCAGAGAATTCGAACAACCGGGATTTAAACTAATAAAGGGAGGAGACGAAAACCTCCAAAAACATCTCTTGACATCTCAAACAAACATGAATTTGCCAGAAGCTATTGAAAATTATGAATATTCCATATACTGTAAGTACCAAAGCTTCAGTTTTGTGGGTGTACTGAATTTGCACAGGTGTCGAAGAACTGAGGTGATTTTGAATTTAAATATAGGGCTGGTTTGATCGATACATAGCATATTTCCCATAGTTTCAAATTTGTTCCAATTTTATTCAAGTTTACATTTTTTGTTCACATTTTTAACAAAAAAAAATCCCAAATTTGGGGAATTTTTTAAGAGGGGAAACAATTTATACGAAAAAATTAAGTTATTAGTTATTATTGAACTTTGACCTCGTCACAACGGGAAGGTGAGAGGTCAAATATTAAAAAATACATTACATCATTGAATTTGGGTGAATTTCCATCCAAAATTATATTCCATATGTGAAAAAATTGTGCAAAAATATAATTGGCACAAGTAGGGATCGAACCATAAAGATTGGATCCAATACACTCCACACTCGGCACTGACTGGATAATTTGGCCACTCTCCCGTAAGGAAAGCATTGCAGCCTTGGTCAGTATTGGAACTCGGTCTCACCATACTCGCCTCTCTCACCGGAACTTATTTATTCCCCCACAACCTATTAAACTCTGATTAATTAAATAAATAATAATTTCGTAATTATTTCCTTAACAACAACTCAACTGGGATGATCACGTCGCGTACATCACATCCAAGGCTGCATCAAGGCTCAATTATCTTCGAAAGCTCAGATCTCTCGGGTTCAAGAAAGATGAACTGCTTACTTCCTACTGCAGCTTTGTCAGATCTATTTTGGAATATAATTCTACGTTTGGGGACCAGGCCCTATTTCACCAAATGACCTCTGCACTCCGCACTCTTCACTCTGCATTCTCTCGATTTGCAGAGTGCAAATGCGGAGCGTTTCTCGGGGGCAATGAACTTTGCACTTTTCACTCCTCAAAACTTGAACTTTGCATGACTCCGCAATCTTTTCTCTCTCGTCACACTGATGGCTATACATCGTTTGTTTTCCAGCTACTTTGTATTATCATAAATTGTTAATTCTTCTGAAATTAGATTAATATCAGCCATGGTAAGTTAATTATTAACATCCCAGTGGGCATTCGATGGTCGAATTCTCTGCGACCAGAGCGAATTAGAGCGAATTCACTGCAGCGACAAATCGCTGCGACTTCGAGGGCTATTTCGTTTAGAATTGTAGACGACTTCGCAACGAAATATTTATCGTCGAAACATCGCCGACAAGTCGGTACGAATTCTACCACGAACAATCGATGGCTTTTCGTAGAAAGAATAGTTTGCACGAATTCGGAGCGATTTCAGAGCGATTTCCAATTTGGTTTCAGTATGAAATTAGAGCAGCGATTTCTGACCGAAATCGCAACGACTCGTCCCCGCTTATACAAAAACGCAATAAATTTTAGTATTTCGTCAGCTGTCGTCATGAGAGTACGTGTCATCGACCGGAGCATCTTTTAAATAAAAGATCACAGCGTCGAGTTTGATTAAAATTAACAAAACTTTTGAAAACCAACAAACTGGAATTGAGACAATAATAATCCTCCTGTAGTGCAAACTAATCGTAGTAATTTTGAACTTGTACAGAAAGTATGGTGTCGAGTGAAATTCAAGAACAAGCCATTCAACGGTTGAAAGGTTGAATTTCAACCTTTTGAAATCGTAGAGACAAGAACTTCAATATACAAGATATACCAAGACGTATTCCGGAGTTTTTTCTCACAAGTGCAACTCAGAATAGGGACTATTGTTTGAAATAAGAAAGTGGGAATAAATAATATACTACCAGAAATACGACTTCGGAATTACTAAAAACTTTAAAAATTTATGAGTGTTTCGATAATTTCCCAAATGATGCGAGAACGTTGTAATAACACCAGTTTTTACGGAAATAATTCCTGTAGGGGATGGGAATTTGCATATTTTGTGTAACTGAAGGATTAATTGCATTTTTAAATCCTACGCAATTGTTCATTTTCCTTCCGATAACACAGTGGAATTGTCCCACATCTTGGATTAACGACGATGCACCCTTGTAAGTTTCAACCAACATGAGAAAAAGGGGTCAAAAAAATTAAAAAGAAAGGCGAGGCGCTTTAACTCACTGGTCGACTATGAAATACGGGTGTTGAAACTTTTGTAGTGTATAGTTGATACAATCACTCTCAACTCCTAGATACTTGCGACGGTTAGCGATAGTTAGATACCTAGTTAGCGAAGAAAGAAAGTTTGACTTTGTTCGCGATAATGTTTTGGAGTGTGGAATCCCGAGCGGTGGTAATTTTCTTATTAAAATTCTAACTCTTTAATATTTAAGGAGAATATTCTTAATAGGAAAAGAGGGACAACAAGCGGAAAACAGGAACTGGGGAGGAAAGACAATGTTCTCACGATGTAGCCACTGATCTTCGAAATAATTGGGAGGAATCATCGTGATGGATGGGTTACCAGTAGGAGAAGTGGTGAACCGGAAGTAAATGTGGACGACCACCAGAGGATGTCTCAGAATC